GATTAAACAAGCAAGAGTGTGTTAATAAATCCACTTTAGATGTGATGGTAGACATATTTTTATTTTTATAATTTATATATTTGCTTCTATTCTATCACCATAGAAGATAAAGGAGGTCTTAAATGCAGTCTTAAAGGGATAGTTCAGGTTTTTTTAAGCTGGGTTGTATGAGGTACTTATCCATAGTCAGTGTATTGCCTACAGCAGATGCTAAGCAATGCACTGCTGTGCAACAAAACACATTTTAGCCACCTAAAAAAAGGTCCACTTACAAAAATCAATATCAGGTTAAGTGTACGCTATATTTAGAGTATTTTCACCAATTGGCCTTGCCGTCAGCCAGCCCTGAAGCTGTAATAGCCATCCATGCTCTTTTCAAAGCCACCAGAGTAGATGTATTCTTATCTAATTCTCAAATAGGGAGCGAATAGAAGTATTCCCAAAAGGATTCCTTTAAATAGATGTAGTTAATAAAATCCTAGACTCACAAAAGAACAAAATAAAAAATAGATTTCCTGATATTCTGACACACGAGGCCATGCACTCTAAACACACTGTTTGCAGTGTGAAACTGGACTAACACCCGTCTGTCAATAAACTCATTAGACAGGATAGCTCCTGACCTTCCTATATGCTCAGGCAGGTCAATCAGTCCTGACACACTAATGGTAATTCCTCAGTTAATCAATGAACTTTTTCTTTAACCACAAACCTCTCAGCTGCTTTCCCCATCACCAGCCTCCTTTTCTCTTGTCTCAGTAAATGAAACAACACTGAAGCCAATCACTAATCTCCTAAAATATTGGCATGTGTTATGTTCAGAAACACTGTACAATTACATGTTCTCTTTCCTTACCCTCCTCCTCCTCCTCAGGCGTCGTTCCATGTTCCTGGTCAACTGCCTGGCGGTGATCGGCGGCCTCCTCATGGGCTTCTCCACCATCTGCTCCTCCTATGAGATGGTAATTGCCGGTCGCCTGGTCATTGGCCTGTTCTGCGGTCTCTTTACCGGCCTGACTCCCATGTACGTGGGCGAGGTGTCGCCCACTCCCCTCCGAGGAGCCTTTGGCACTCTTCACCAGCTCGGTGTGGTGATTGGCATCCTGATCGCTCAGGTCAGCAGGAGGCTTCCTAACAAACCTCAGATTTAATGAAATAACAGCTGATTTATGAGCCAGAAATCCAATAAAGAAGTTCTTACTGTGTAATATAGTTAGGTACAGTACTGATTTGCTGTAAATCTGACCCAGCTGTTGTGGCCCTCTGTGTTTAGATCTTTGGTTTAGAGGCTCTGCTGGGCTCAGACAAGCTGTGGCCCCTGCTGCTGTCCCTCACTGTGGCCCCTGCTGTGCTGCAGTGCATCCTGCTGCCCTTCTGTCCTGAGAGCCCTCGCTTCCTGCTCATCAACCTCAAACAGGAGGAGCAGGCACGCAAAGGTACTGTGGTGGCAATTTGTTTAATAAAGCAATCAGAGTATGATCTAGTCTTTCAGTAAGGTTTATTCAGCATCTATAGATGGACTCACAGCAACACTCACAGCCATTCCTGCTGCTATTACTGCTACAACTCTGGACAATACGACTGCTTCTACAGCTACTACTGTTATCCATTCTGCCAGTACTACTAATGTACAACTACAGATACCTCTACTACAGTCACTACTGGTACTGCTGCTACCTGTACTACTACAGCTAACACTACTGCTGCTTCTAGTGTTTTTGTGCTACTGCAACAGCAGTTGTATACTGGCTGTACTGATACTGTAGGACTGCACCACTGCAACTACGGGCACTATAACTACCACTACGAATATTACTACAGTCACAACTAACACAACTACTACTAACACTACCTGCTGCTTAACTACAACGACTAATGTCATTTTTACTACAGTGTCACTCCAGCCACTGCACCAGGCGATGCTTTTACTGTCACCAATAAATACAATATCCTTAAAGTTTTAAAAGTGAAATATTGATATTGCGTAAGTAATCCAGTGCCTCTTAAATCATATTCTGTTCTGTGCTTTATCGTTCCCACTCCAACATTGTAGGTGGCAGCAATTCATTTGCCAAAAAAGAGACAAAACACACAATAAAAGTGATAAGTGATCAATAATATTGATTGCAATAATATTAGTATTGTGAATTCTTTGGGCTACAATAATCATGTTGTGAAATAACTGACATTTTACAAATAACTATTGCAAACTCAGCTTCAGTTACTACTCATACTGCTTCTGCTACTGCTACTGTCACTTCTACTGTCACTACTACTACCACAGCTTATACGGTAATAACTTTTATTTTAACTACTGCCTCTATCACTACCAACATTTCTTTCTTCATTTCTTTAATAATACTACAGCCAATTCAAACACTGCTGCTACCTCTACTGAAACAACTGTTACTAGTAGCTCTTCTGCTGATACTTCTGCTACAACTATTGCTATTTCTGGTTCTTGGAATACTATTACTTCTACTGATATAACTGGATTGACCATTGCTCCTGCTGCAACCATTACTGGTGCTCTTTCAGTTAAACAGGTTTCCATAGCTACGGCCATAGAGATTCACTGTGACATTGAAAAAGAAGTAAGACAGAGGAGAGAGAAGGCAGGAGGCAGAGAAACTGAGAAATGGGAAATAGAGATGCTGAGAGAAAGGGCGCAGGTGAAAGTGAGTACAAGAAGAAGAGAAAGAAGGAGAAAGAAGGAGAAAGAAAGAAAATGAGAGAAATCATCAGTACAGATACACAGGGGTGAGATCAGGTGAGTCAGGGTGATGTTTTAGCCTGGAGAGAAGAGTCCTTGAACAGACAGAAGGTTTTGGCATCTGTTCAACACGGAGCCTGTCAGGGGTGACTCTGAGGCACTGACCCACTTCTCCTTCACACCTCTCATTTGACATGAACAAAAACAAACACAAGGCTCAGGCTCCACAGTTAGAGTTGCACCATAGTTTCTGTGACTGTGTGATGTTTGTGGTGTTCACAGCTTACAGATACAGAACCTGCTCTGACTCTTCATTTAGTTTCAAGCAACAGATGAACCAAAAAAAGCAACTAACAGGTCTGTCTGAAGAGATTGTGGATGTGTGGAGGACTGCAGACTTTTTGGATAATACTGAAATACTTTTCAATTCAATAATATTATAAAACCTAAAGCCACTATGTGTCTGATTTTTATGTTATTATAGCATCTTTAAATTACTACTTCTTAGTTTTTGTTTGTCGAGAGATGAGACAATCCCGCTAAAAACCGATGTAGTCTTTGTGCTTTTAGCAAATTCATGTGAAAGGGGGAGGATGTAAGAAGGGTGCATGCATGTCTTCCACATTGTCTTCTCTGATACTACCACTGGAGGGTGCCACAGTTTGGGATTTTCAAACACTACTTTTGTGCCTTTTTGGGGACATTTTTCTGTCTTTAATGGGTAGCATCCAGTGGAGAGCTGTGAAGAAGTAGAGTGGAGAGAGAGATACAAAAAAGGGTTGAACTCAAACTAGGCATATTGCAGTTACCGGGTTTCAAACCACTAGGCCAAAATTTAGTTGCTTTAAAAGCAAAACTGTTTTAAATATTTTAAATATTATACATATTTAAAACACAATAATTATACCAGCTATAATTTCAAAATGACTGACAGGCCATTTAATATTCTGAAAGGTCAAAGCTAAAGGTTTGTCAATCAGAACTGTTTGTAAAGACACAGAAAGATTTTAACTCAGTGTCTTCTTGTTGCTACTTTAAAGCCAAAATGGCATGGAGTGGACCGTGTCTTTTTAAGTATTTCCAAGGTCGAGTGTTACAATCCAACTTCAGTTCATATTTTAAATAAACATGTATTGGATTTTTTGTGGTCGCCCACTGTTTACTGTTGCAGCTTGTGCTTTACACCAATGTGTTAGCACATAGACTCAGCATCAACCTGTCAGCACAACAGAGCACTTTTTTTAATTTATTTTTTCCCTGCCTTTATGTGTTTGTGCAACCAGCAACAACAAAAACAAAGACACAAATGTGTTTCCGTTCACAGCACTGGTGCGCCTGCGTGGCAGTGAGGATGTGAGTAAAGACCTGCAGGAGATGAAAGAGGAGAGCGCCAAGATGGCCATGGAGAAGAAGGTGACCATCCCCGAGCTTTTCCGCTCTGCGGCGTATCGACAGCCCCTCCTCATCGCCGTCATGCTACAGCTCTCCCAGCAGCTGTCAGGGATCAACGCTGTGAGTCAGCAACAGGCAGCATGTCAACACACACACACACACACACACATACACAGAGGGCTGCATATGAATACACACTTTTACACAAAGATTTTTTTACTCTTGGATCCCTGTTTGTTGTTACCCTGGCAACATCTACTCTGTGGTCTATATTAAAAAAAATACATATAATATTAAAGTTGTTGCAATAATCTTACCTAATAATATAGTATCACTACAACAGATACAACTAAATAAAAAACAAACATATTACATTGAAATCTTTGTAACCTCTACCACTGAATAACATTTTTTTTTGTTATATTTGAATGATCATACTGCAAACAAAAGTTAAAGAATCCTTATTTTGCTCTTTTATTTAAAGTAACCTCTTTGTTGCTTCTTACAACAGTTTTTCCTAGATTCATAAGATATAAAGTGTGGCAGACTGTTCCAATGAGACATCGCTCTATACATAATTGTATAACCAGGGGTAAAGCTGGGACCCATAGGCCTACGCTCTTCTATGTCATCAGACATAGTGGGACTCGCCACCAGGAGAAATCCCAGTGGGGGCGATCGCTCTGTGGGCCGCTGAAACAGCCCATTTTATGACGTATAAAGTCTGCGCGTGCACACATGTGCACCCATGACAATCCTGAAACCAAAGAGCACCCCACATAACAAGTCCCAATGAATCCCCTGTGTATAGCACAGATAAGTCAGAGTATACAGACACACACACACACACTCTCTTCAGTGAGAGAACAAAAGGACACTTTGTAAATACTTTGTCCAGCTGGGTCACTGACGAAGCAAATGTCAACTACGTCCTCCCAGTATGAGTCGGGGATGGATTACAGTTTGGTTCATTGTAGGTGACCGTGATTATATGACTGGACCTTTTGTAAGTTACAGTGTCATGTACAGTAAATACTTACAGTAAAAATGTTGGTATTTGGAGGGGAAATTTACTTTAGACTGACTTAGAATCAAATATAGACAGACATTAGCATAATTCTCCAACTTTTTTTTCCATCAGGTGTTCTACTACTCGACAGGGATCTTTGAGTCAGCTGGTGTGAAAAAACCTATCTACGCCACCATCGGAGCCGGCATCGTCAACACCATCTTCACTGTTGTTTCTGTGAGTGACGTCAGAGTGTTTCTCTTCGCTCCTGCATGTGTTTGTGTTCATTGAGCAGCACATCACTCACCCACTGTGTCTGTCCTCCAGCTCTTCCTGGTGGAGAAGGCAGGACGAAGGACTCTGCACCTCCTGGGATTGGGTGGAATGGCGATCAGTGCTGTACTTATGACCGTGTCCCTCCTTCTGGTGAGTTCAGCACTATCACAGCTCCCCCATTAGATGTGTACTCCAGGGCGTCGTCAGTACAACGTGACATCAGTGTTGTGGTGTGTTCACAGGTGCAGCAGAAACTTTCAGCATCTGGCATTAAATTACTCTTTGAGCGTCTTAGAATGATGGGTTTACGTACAAATTTCCACCAAAAACATAGTAATTCGCCAGAACTGTATTTGGCTTTGAACTTCCTTATCAAGCATTTATAATCAGGTA